ATGAAGAAGATCAATAAATAAAAATTAACAAGAATGTGTGTGAATAGTACTACATTTTTATAGAGTAAGACCATCTCCAACCCTTGGGCTAAAAGCCAAATTTTTTAACCCGAAAAATTTGGCTTTTAGCCCATAAACATCTTTTCTGCTCCAACCTTTCTGCCCTAAAATTTTAGCCCGGAATTATTAAAGAATGAACTTAGGCTAATTTTTTCTTAAATCAATTTTTTTTTAAAAAATAAATAAATATGTAGATTATTGTAAATTAATTTTATGAACATTTTAATCTAAAAAAATTTAAATTCCGATAAACATTTGGCATTTAGCCCGGGGGGAAAGCTGGGGGGGGTATTTGGCTCAGAAATAACATTTGGCATTTAGCCTAAAATTTTAACATGGGTTGGAGAGTGTTTGGGGGGTAATTTGGCTTTTAGCCCAGGTTTGGAGATGGTCTAAGACCATCTCCAACCCTTGGGCTAAAAGCCAAATTTTTTAGCCCGGAAAATTTAGCTTTTAGCCCAAAAACATCTTTTCTGCTCCAACCCTTTTACCCTAAAATTTTAGCCCGGAATTATTAAAGAATGAAATTAGCCTAAATTTTCTTCTTAAATCAATTTTGTTTTAAAAAATAAATATGTAGATTATTGTAAATTAATTTTATGAACATTTTAATCTAAAAAAATTTAAATTCCGATAAACATTTCGCATTTAGCCCAGGGGGAAAGCTGGGGGGTATTTGGCCCAGAAATAGCATTTGGCATTTAGCCTAAAATTTTAGCATGGATTGGAGAGTGTTTGGGGGGGTAATTTGGGGGGTAATTTGGCTTTTAGCCCATGGTTGGAGATGGTCTAAGTAATTCAAAGTTTGTCTTACTTTACATGCAGTAAATTTACAGCTAAGGTAAATGACATGATTGTTGGAGAATAGATACTCACATCGGTCATATAACAAAATGATATACAATTCATATATGAAAGTCTTCACCCATAATATCAGCAAAGCTTTTGTGATAAAACTCAACATCTAATAAAATGTGGTTAAGTTGGGACATCGCATGTTTTTTTATGTTGTATTACTTGGACATTATAATTCTCTTAGAATTAAATAATATTAACTTTTTTTTTATCGGATGTCCCGAAGGCACCTTAGATTTTTTTTTTTTTTAAATGGAAAAAGTGAATGAAGAATTAAATATTAACAATATGGCTTCTTATGAACAAATTAAAAAGAAAACAAAGTTGTTTTCTAAGGGCCAGGGACTCAGGGGTTTTGTACTTTCTTTAGAGCCACCACAGCTTGAATTAGAATTCAAATTGCAGGCATCATTTGATATAATTACTTGAAGACAAAGGTTTATAATTGGGTCAAAGAGTACTTAATTAGTGTCGTAATTCACTTTATGTAATTGTGCTAGTAAAAAAAATCTCAGTCTGCCGTCCAACTAGCGCCTTTTAAAATCTTATGTGTTAGTAGAAATAGAAAACGTTGAGTATATATAAATAGGATATGCAAATAATAATAACATATCTTTCAAATTTCAAAGCAGACAGACAGTCAGTTGTTGATGCCTCAGCCAGTCAGCCTCACTGCAGGCTTCCAATTGAACGATTTGAATCCATCCATATCTTAAATCACAAGGACGACTCGAATGTTTTACCACCAAACCACTGACCCAGTGTTTAATCTTCATCCACTGTTTTATTCTAAAGTACCACTCTCTTTTCTTTTCTTTCATACGAAAATATATAACATTGTTAAATTTGCATGCAAAACATTATTTCAGTATATATGATGTGTGTAATACATACAAGAACTTCGTGGATTTATATTAGAGTTGCGTCAAGAAAATCTCACGTCTACTCAATATGTAAATATAGTATAAAAAAATGCAAATTTACATGGTTTAAGTAATCAAACCATGGTAAGAAGGATTTTTAGTTAAAATAGTCATTGAGATTTAAAATCGATAAATGTGATCATTGATTTTATTTACCATTCTGGTCATTCCGTGAAAAATATCAGTTGAATAAGGAATAAAAAGAAAAAATACACTAAATTTTTGTCAAATTATTTTGGCCTATTATTTATTAAATTGAGAGTATTTTTTCCATTTGATCATTTATTTAACAGAAAATTTTCAACAATCAACCATGTCAACAAACGCTATCAAATTTATAGTGGCGAATTCGTTACTAGCCTAGATTTTAGATTTTGAGCATTGAATTTTGAAATTAAACTCAAGGTTTATTGTATGTCGTAGCCAAATAATCAACTGTGTCAACAATCGCTATCAAAGTTGAATACAATTGAGTATAAGTGAGAATATGGTTATGCCTAAACTCATGACGTAAGGAACAATGGAATATCAACTTTGGAGTAAATGAATAGTGGAAGCTGCTATCAAAGAGAAAATGAGAAGTGGATGTCGTCACGGACTGTGCCGCCCCGCCATGAGATGAAACATTACTTCCAAAGAGTCACAAATCATTTTTCTTACACGAATCTTGTACCTCAATTGGTCAACAATTTGATACAATATTTACTAAATACAGTAGAAAACGAGTTTTGCGTTGCAAGAATCTTGTATCTCATTTGATCATGAACATTCACCATTCAAGAAAATCATTCGATGTTACACTCGAGATTCTGAGTCTGATTTCTCCTTCTCAATATTTACTTGCATGAGAAAATAATACTAAACAGGTCTTGTTTGTAACATGTGTCCGTCTGTTTGTCTCAACGCTAAAAAACTCAGAAGAATTTGATACGTGATAAATAATTAGATGTATGGTGAGCATTAAATAAACTTTATGATGGTGAGCAAAAATCCCGAGAAACTCTCTCTCTCCCTAAAGCGTACACGTCAACAACTTCGTACGTACATTTTCTTCTACGGCTCAAGAGTTAAGGTTTTTAGGGAGAGAAAGTCAGAGAGTGGGGAGTGGGATGGTGGCGACTTTGATGATGGTTTGGAACAACAGAACAGAGAAGAAAATCGAGAGAGAGAACCCTAACTTTTCTTCAATACAAAGCCTCCCTCCCTTCACTGGATGGACCCCATCAAAAATCAATCCTAACCCCAACTGTCACGTATTCTTCTTCTACTCTCTCTCTCCTCTCTCAATCTAACCCAACGCCAACAGCAAGCAAGGATTGTAAAGTTTTTGTCTTTTTTCCCACCACCACTTCCCACTTCGCTCCCTCCACTTTTCTCAGTCTTTAATGGCTGCCCGTTTCACCATTCTCCTCAAAAAAATAGTGGGTCGGTGCTGGATTACCATTGCCACCTCCCTTTTTCGCTGTCAAAAAGATGCCCACTTTGAAAATTTTTAGAAAAAGTCTTTGTTTTCACCATTGTTTGGTTGAATTTTCTTGAACTTAATCTGGGTTTTCTCCAAAGCTTGTGATATTTTCAGAATTGCGGAAAGAAAAAGACAAAAAAAAAAAAATTTGGGTTGGATTTTGAGTACTTCAAAAGGGTCGTTTTCAATGCTGCATTGTACTGTGCTGAATTTTCATGCCGTGTGTTGCTTCAGAAGCCTTGACCTTCAAAGGGTGTTTTTTTTTAATAAAAAAAACAAAAAACACCAGACGCATGCCCGAATTTTCTGAATTGTAAATTCCATCGGGCAGAACTCATGAATTTGGGATCGAATTTCTGAAAAGGAGATTTGGGTTTATCTCAAACTTTTGTGTATCTCAAGCTTCTGATCAATTTTCCAGCATCATTGCTTAGTTTTGTTCACTGAATTTGAGGAGTGAATTTTTGACCTTTTAACACCATTTGTGATGCTCAAGTGCATAATTGTCTTTGAACAGTCTTTTCTTTGAAGTGAAGACCAAATTGCAGGAAGTTTGAGCCTTTTTTGTGGAGAATTTGAGGTGCTGGTTAAGGCTTTTATGAGTGAAAAAATAAGGCTTTAGATACCTTGCCATCCAAAGAAAGTTTAGGAATCTTGAGCCTCACTCTGTTGGAAAACTTGAGGAGTTGGAATTGGAATCTGCCTTGTTTATGCAACAGACTTTTATCCAGCTGCATTTCTCTTCTTTCGGTGTATCGAATTCGAGCCTCTGAATTTGAGGTAATTCCTTCATCCCTTAGATATGGCAAAGAAGTCACAGAAACGCTCTGTGAGGTATGAGAAAGATCAGTTAGGCTGCATGTGGGGTTTGATGAGTATCTTTGACTTCCGGCACGGCCGCCCCACCTGGAAGCTGATTTCTGATAAGAGGCATGGAAGTAAGCAAGCTGTTGGTAAGAACTCTCAACTTAGAATTCACTTTTAACTGGATATTTGCAACATGCAAGGATTTTGTGCTATTTTTTGGTATTAGTTTCTTCAGGCTGAAATGAATTCAGTGAGTAGCAGTTGTGTTTTGGGGATTTCTCTGGAAAAGTTTTACTAGTTAACATGTTTATCTAAATGGTTTTAGTAAAAGTTTTATTTGGAATCATCGGCAAAGAAGGCAATGTTTCTTAGTAATGTAACTATTGAACTCCTTTGCAAGCTACATAAGGACTTTCGAGGAACAACTTGAAGGTCATTTGAGCACTTGGATGAAAAGCTTCGAATAAGCACACATGCTTGTAGTAATATTAAGCATCAAAATCCAGATAATCGAAATTAATAAAGCAAATTCAACAAAACTTGAAAGTAGATTATATAACTCATAAGAGCTGCTGTGAAGAAACTCTTCAGGATAGCGCAATGATTATAGAGCTAAGCATCTAGTAGGATGCCTTGTAAGAAACCAGAATCCAGTGAGAAAACTCATGGAAGAAGAAATGTCCAGTGAGCAGGGCATGAAGAAGGAGATAAGCAATCATGCAGTGGAAACTAAACAGTCAGAATCAAGCCAGAACAGAAAGGACCAGAAGAAAACAAAGAGGACTCGCAAGAAAAGCCGAGACATGGACACCCATATTATGAATGCTTCAGAGAACTCATGGATGCTTTGCAATCGCGGAGCAGAAAACTAATGTTGGAATGGAATAATGGAAGATGGTATGTTGCAGCGCCAGAAATATATCAATTGCGCGAATCATGACGTGAATGGTGAAGCTCCTGTGGAACCAAGCGACAAGCATTCTGATTTTGAAGAGAAATTATGTGTGGCAATCAAGGAGTTCATGAATCATAAGTTAGCAGATGGGAAACATCTTACGGAAGATCAGAAAGTCCACCACTTCAAAGAGCTAATGGATGCGCTCGAGGTCTTAAGTTCAGATGAGGAATTGTTTCTGAAACTTTTGCAGGATCCAAACTCACTGTTGGCAAAACATGTCCAAAAGTTCCAGGATGCTCAGATAGAGAAAGATGAAGAATACGCTTCCTTTGCAGAGTCCAAGTTGTCGGAACAGAAGCTTGGTGATGTAAAACAATCTGAGGAGCTTGTCAACCGTAAACAGCGGTACTTTTTCAGGAGAAAGGTCAAGCCTCAGGAAAGAAACCCAAGTAAGGAAAATGAGGATTCTGAAGCTTCAAAGAGAATCGTCATTTTGAAGCCTGGGCATCCAGTGTTACGAAATTCTGAAACTGGAGATAGTGCATCCCCAGAATCCCATAACATTGTAAGAAATAAAGGGCCAAGTGAAAGAGTTGGTTCCCACTTTTTTCTCTCAGAAATAAAAAGGAAACTAAAGAATGCAATGGGAAAGCAACACCATGGGGCATCTACTGTTGGAAGTTCAAACAGATTGCCTTATGGGCGTCAAAATTCGGGAGGTAGTGACAAAGGAATTGGTAAGGAAAAACTTAGAAGTTCCCCTGGTAAAGAGCATTTCTACATTGAAAGAATTGCTAAACCTTCCGGTGGTATCAAGAGGGCAGAAAAGACTGGGAAAGTGAAAGAACCTGAAGTAAGTTTGAAACATGAAAATCATGGTCTTGCGGATGAAAGGCTATCTAACCTCTACATTGAGGCCAAGAAGCATCTCTGTGAGATGCTGAGTAATGGAGATGAAGGTGTAGATATATCAAGACAGCAGTTTCCTAAATCCTTGGGAAAGATTCTTTCTCTTCCTGAGTACAACGTTTCTCCTTTTGGCAGTCCTGGAAGGGACTTGGAGCATGGCTTTGTTACCGCACAGATGAGATTGTCTGCTTATGACAAACTTTTGAAGGCCAATGAGAATACATTGTCTCCTAAGCAAGAGAAAAATGCCAGCCCTCTTGGTGAGGTAGTACACAACTTAGGGAGTCTGCCGTCTAATTCTGACAATAACCCTGATGATAAAGTACAGCCTTCTAACTCAATACCAAGCATCTCAGATAATCTGATTCAAGATAATGAAGTGGAAGAAGCCCATCCTTCCGTCGTAGATAAGAAGAATTCTGAAGGTATTGATTCTCGCAGCTGTTGAATTTACAATGACAAACATTTTGATTAGCCTCTGTGCTTGCTTTTAAATTCTTTGGTATTTAGGATTTTATAAAATTTTTGTAGGTGTCGAGATTAAAAATGGAAAAGAAATCGTTGCTTGGGAAGAAGAAATCATTGCTTGGGAAGAAGAAATTGTTGCTTGGGAAGAAGAAATTGTCTTGGATGCCCTCTCTGAACTAAGTGGTTCTTCAATCGCCATAAATGACCAAAATGATGATAAAAGAATTTCGGAATGCTTACAACAGGTATTAATATCTTTCTTTTTTGTGCTTATGATTTATTTTTCCTTTAGTAAACTTGTCTGCTTATATCCATCATCTCCATCCTGATAATTATTCTTGCCCATCTTCCAGAATTCATATGACGAAAACCCGCAATCTTCTTCATTAGCATCCCCTTCCAGCTCTTTAACCACCAAGCATGTTGAGGATTTAGAAAGTGGTATAGATACACCAGAGCGGCCAAGTCCTGTTTCAGTTCTGGAGCCACTATTCACAGAGGATGATATCAGCCCCGGGAAAACCATTTCTCGGTTTGGTATGCTTCATACTAAGACAGTTGATTAACTTTGAATCCTTATATGTTTTGCATTTCTCCATTAATATTAACTTTTTTACTGATCTGCAGGAGAGCTACAACCACTAAGGATCGAATTTGAAGATTATGACCCTTCAGCTGCAGAGCAAGCTAACAATGCAAAAACCTGTACAGAAGACAAGGAACTAATGTTTGATTTTGTAAAAGCAGTCATGCAAGCCTCTGTCTTCAATTGGGATGACTTCTGTATGAAGTGGCTTTCTTCTGACCAAATTATTGAGCCATCATTGTGTGATGAGGTGGAATTTTTTCCTAACCAGCTTTGCTATGACTCGAAGCTCCTTGTTGACTGTATTAATGAAGTTCTACTGGAGGTTTGTGGGCGTTATTATGGTTGCTTCCCTCGGATATCATCTGCGAAACCTAGTATAAGACCAGTACCAGATATGAAAACTGCTATAGATGAGGTCTGGATAGAAGTTTATTGGCATCTCCGTCCTCTTCCATTGCCTCGTACTTTGGACCAGATTGTCACAAAAGACATGTCAAGACCTGGAACGTGGATGGACCTTCGGTTCGATGCTGAGACCATTGGTGTTGACATGGGTGAAGCCATTCTCCAAGAATTGATGGAAGACACCATATTAAGCTATGTAGAAGGAAGTCTCGGAAGTGAAGATGTTTCAGTTAAATCTGAATCAAATGAAACAGAGAGCATTCTCAACTTATAGAACACAGTCTGACTTCGATTTGTCTTTATCAAATGCCAAGCCACCTTCTTGCTGAGGCAGTTGGAAAGCAAGTCATATTTGTGCTTCCAGAGGGTGAGAAGCAACATTTTAGCTTTCCTGGAGTACCATGGATCCGGTATGAACTGGATTTGCAACTTTGTTAACTGAAATCATGTAGATAGTATAGAATCTGTTACATGTCAAAACTAAGGATCGGGGGCATCTGGAGCAGCAGTCAGTCACCTGAATGAAAGCCCTTGATAGCTAGGGAGCAGATATCTGGTCTGCAAATTCTCCTTGCAAGAACTCTGGCACTTCTCTGCAAGTCGATTATACAAGACAGATAAGAACAGGTACCATTTCTGAGTCGTCATCTGTGTCAACCGCCGAGGCGGTAATGTAGAGAGTTGATCTTATAAGTGTAGATTTATAGAGGGTTGGAGTGTTTAGTTGAGAGTTGTTGATTTCATTCATTGTCAATTGTGTTACCTTGTTCTTTGTATTTGGTGTTGTATTTGAAAGCGTCGGAGTACAAGAAGTTGTAGGTTGTGTAGTTCCAAAAGAAAAAAACAAGTTGTGAGTTGTGAGTTGTGAGTCTTGTGACTGACTATTACTGGTGTTGTAATTAGTAATTACAAAGAAAATAAAGGAAGATCATGCTAGGTTTTGTTATATGCGTTGAACAAGCTGGATTTTGGATTGCAGATTAATAAAAGTTGTGGAAAAATTATATTGCACGGGAAGAGGAGATTTTATCAGGCATAAAAAGTGGTTTAAGGGAGTGTGATGTCTATAAATATTAAATATGAATCATGCAACGCTGGATTCGTATTACTTTAATTATGGCAAGTATTTTTTTGTTCTCTTAATAAATGCAAATTAGGGAATTAACAAACTTCTGTTTTTAACTTTACTAACAGAGAGATAATCTACTCTAAATTCATCAAATTTTGAGGGAGGGGGATTTAAATTTGGATGTAACAAAGGAGCACACAGCTATAGCCAACTTCTCAAGTCTGAGGGAAATTAAAGGCTTATTTGGTTATCATATTTGAAATTTTTTATAATTTCTCAAAACGTAGAATTTTTCTTGAAAACAATTTTCTTTAAAACTCAAAAACTTGTTTGGTATTCGATTTAAAAAATTTTAATCTTACAATTTAAATCGAACAAAAAGATTCAAAAAGAGGGGGTCGAGAGAAAAAGAGGAGATAGAAGGAAAGAAAGTAAGAGATGATTGGAGGAAAGAGAAAGAAGTGAGATGATCGGTGGAGATAGAGAGGAAGATGAGTGAGAGAAAGAATCGAAAGAATAAAGAGAACATATTGGAGAAGAGACTAAACAGGTAAAAAAAAAAAAAAAGAGGGAGAGAGAGAGAGAGAAGAAGAGAGAGATAGATTTTGAATGAGAGGGGAGAGAAAAGAAATGAGTAAGTTTAAGTTTAAATACTCTAAAAAGTGTTTTTAGAGAATATATTATATTTTTGAGTTAGTCTGGAGTTCAGTTTTTTAAAATAGTCATATCAAACAAGTTTTTAAGGCCTAAAACTTGAAAATTATTTTTGAGTTTAAAAAGTTAAATTCAAATAGAGTGCCAAACAAGCTCTAAGACTTTGACGTCACAAAATTTCTCTCCTCAGCAAACAACAAAATTCAGAAAGAAAATTATTTATTTATTAGAAATATTCTTTGGATTCAAATAATAATAGGAGAGGAAGCTGCAAAGGTTATCGGCAAACGCACAAGCCTCTTTAATATTATCAAAGAATTATGTCTTAAGAAAATGACTGAATTAATACAACAATGTTGTGCAGTGCAGCTCATTTGCCTCCCATATCATATAATTACATAAACACAAACTAGCATTTCTCATGAAGATTGTACTTTTAACTTTATACGTAACGCGGTCAAGTCTACTCAAACGAAAATTGTGTGAGGTTTACTGAAAGAGAACAAAAGCACCAGAGATTCACTTTTGACAAGGTGAGATGGTTAATTTTCTTTTCCTACATGACAAGGTGAAATGGTTACTTCTGCCTTTTCTTCGCCCGTAACGATGGGGTTACTGGAGCTGCTGGTCTTTTCTTTGCAAAGGCACTAGTTCTGCTATCTTCATCATCATTTTCATCATCATCTTTAGCAGCTAGTGTGGACTCCTCTGCAATTTTAGCAGCATTTCTTCTTGCGGCATCCAACTTGTAATGTAATTTCCTTTCAAGAGGATCATTTGAAGGTACAAACTTGGATGGGCGGGGAGCTACAGCACCTAGTCCAAGCCTGCAAAATTCAATAAAGAGTTCTGCAGAAAGTCAATAATGTCTCAATAACAGCCAATATTGGCAACTAAAGATAATTATACTCTCTTAAACACAAAATAGATAAATAAATCAACTTGCCTAGCAGGCCGAGCCTGTATTTCAAATGGCTCATCTTCTGCAGGTTCACTCATGGTACTAAGCCATTTTTTAGCCTGCACATCAGCCAATTTTCATGCACAAAGAAAGTTAGCTTTTGAAAATCAATGAAAGGATTGACATCAATAGCATTGCAAAGAACTGTATAGTTCTTAGACTCCACGACACCCCATTCATAAGGAATTTCGACCAGATTGCTATGACATCACTGGCAAAAACAGATACTCTTAACTAAAAGATTACAGAGATACCGCATTGATGTAAATGTTGTTTATCCCCATAAACATATAAAAATCATATAATCTTCAGAGTTATCATGTACACAAAACAATCTCATTTAAAACAACCTGGGGAGGTTTCAAATTAGTTCAAACTTGAACCCCATTATTTTCTTGTCTAATAGCCTGCTGCAGATATTCACAACCCAATTACAAATGACAAATCAATCTATTAGAACAGCATTTCCCTTCTGAGCTCATTCACTACACACACGCACACACACACAAATGCAGGCGCGCGCACATACAAACGCGCGTGCCCACACACATGCACAAATGCGGGCGCAGAGACAGAAAGATACACAACTCCAAGAAAACTATCATTTCATATCATCAAATCTCAAATTCTAATGGATGTGCATTCTATGTCGGGTTCTAGTTGCTCTAGACCATATAGACCAGACATGGTAGTAGTAACCGGAAAACAGTACATTGTTCATAACACGACGGGGGAAAATCATCTCACCAGATCCAAAGCTTTATCCAATTTAACTATTTGAGGACGTTCCTTTTTCTGCGGCGTCTTTTCGGTGCTCATTGCTTCCTACACAGCCTGCAGAGAATAAAACAGTCTTAAATCATAATCAAACCCAACCAATACTATCTTATTCATTAGCGAGTAAAACCCAATTCATCAAGTAACAGCTAAATAGCCAAAAGGGTTTTGACCGAAAGCTACATTCGTTTCGGATTGAAGCGTGGAACCAACAATGTATATTGCAACCTAAAATCTGCTACTGAGCCTACAATTTCAAAGCACTTTAAAATCAAAGCTACCCGAACAGTGCTGAAATACTGGTAAACCCAAATCAAATCAGAAAATCTAACAACCGAAACACCATAACTGAAGCAGGATATAAAGCTAGGGTTTTGAACAGCGTACCGATTCCCAGAAAAGCGAGAAATTGCGACGCTTTGAATTGGGTTCTGAGCAGGAGTGCGGGCTTTTGGGTTTGGCAATGGCGCGCAAAAGGCCAAGACTTGGAGAGGGTTCGAGAGAAATAGATGGATTTTAGGAAATAGAAAGAGAGAGAGAGACTGATGCTTTGCGGATTTTTTTTTGTTGGGCATCAACTGAACAAGGATCTTCTGCTCCCCTGTCCTGTTCTCACTTTTACCCTCCAAATGGGATTTTGCCTAAAACTGCTAACCTCGATTTTTTTTTTTTTTTTTGTCAAACGATAGATTTGTTAGATAAAAAATTGACAGGATTCGAACTCATATCGTAGCGTAGGAGCAACACTCATTTGGTAGAGAGCCACTTGTCTAAAGTCGAGTTATTTGACTAATGGCTCATCTGTATTAGCATGATATGAAATATCTAGAATGTCCTTTTATTCAAAGCACATGAGACTAAATTGATCAACATGAAGTGAAGTGACTCGATTTTGACAATTCTTATAGGCAATGTTAGATAAATCTAATTTTTGGGATAAAGACTAAAAGCCATTTCGTAGACCAAATCAATAAATAAATTTTATTATTATTATAAACGATATTCAACACCATGTTTTCATCTTGTAAACTGAAGCCAAAACGTTCATCAGTGTGGACTGCACTACATTGGCTCTCTTTAAATTCAGAGTTCCCAAAAGGGCAAATTCAAGTACTTCAAATCTTCTGCCTCTGTTTTGGGTATGTTATCTCTGTCAATTAAGGCAAACTTTTGAAAAACACAGGAATCACCTAGGTGTATAACCAAGCCAATGTCATTAGAGTGGACCAGCATGAATGTTGTTCTTAGGGCTGGTTTGGTATTGCTGTGCTTTGAAAAAAAACTGCTGTGAGAATAAGCGGCTGTGAAATAAAGCCAGTAGAGTGTTTGGTAAACTTTTTTGTGAAAGTGCTTTTGGAAAAAAAAGCAGGATGATAGTGTGTTTTTTCATTAAAGGAGCACTGTAGCTCCGTGTGCTTTGAAAAAACTGGCTTTTTTTCAAAGCAGCAAATAGCAGCTTCAACTTTTCCTTTGATTTTCAGCTTATTCTCACAGCAGCTTCCAAAATAAGCCTTTTTTTTCAGTTTACCAAACACAAAAATGACCCTCAGCTTTTTTTCACAGTGGCTTTTTTTAAAATCACCTCAATCCCAAACGGGGCCTTAGTCATTTTATTTAAGGGTGAAAAAAAAATCAAAAAAGCCGAAACCGACTAAAACAAATACTAAATTGATAATACCAAAAAATTTGATAACTGAAACCAAAAAATTTGGTACATGTATCAGTACCACACTTATAGTCAATCAAACCGAATTAAATATATATCACTTTTTCTTTCTTTGTCTTCGACGACTTCGCCCTCCTGTCTTGACTCCTCTCCAATGCTCTTTCTCTCTACCTCCTTCTCTGGCCGCACCACCAACGCAACGCCTTCTCTCTCCATCTTCTTTGATGACTCTGACGCTCTCTCTTTCACCTTCGACGACCGGAGTTAGGGGTGGGTTCATATCAAATTTTGTTTCTCTTATTTTCGATTCGGTTACCAAACGAAACTAGCCCTACTTTTTTCTTCTAGTCCGAATTTTAAGGTTAAGTTTTATCCATGGACTGTTACCACACTTCTATTGACACACCCCGATCCTGGAATCAATGCGTGTTGGCCATCACGTGAGCGTGACGTAGCCACAAGTGCGACACAGAAGCAAGAGATAAGAGAAATATGAAAGAATTTAAACCAACCACTAGCAGTAATATCCTACTAGCATAATAGAGTGAGTTATAATGTAAAACACACGAATTCAGAGCGTAGATACTAGGTGCAATCAAGTAGGACCATAATTAAAAGTACAACACCCGCATGTGAGTCCTACATGCAGAACATCTGTCAGAACGCCGAAAAGGACCTCGTGAGCCACCAACTGCTAACTAGAACCTGGAGGGGTGCAAAACAAAGTTGAGTGGGTCAGTAAAACCAAATATTTTCCAAAACATTTCATTTAAAACATTTCTAACCCCTCACTGTAAAATCTGTATACTTTCCCAGAAAATAACATAATAGTATATACCTTCAAATATCTCAAATCATCAATCTTTATCAAAACCAGAAAGTATGCCATGTCATAATGTTAAAAACAGAATATGGATGCATCAATATAACAGGTGATATAATGAAATAACCGGATACCCTATAATGGTCCCTGTTCTAGCTCAATATTCCCCCCAGCCAGAGTCACCCCAGTGACCTATACGGCCCTACTCTGCACGTCACTCGGAACTACGTAAGGTAGTATGTACGATGGAAAGGTGTAAGAATACGCTCTAGTGCTTCTCTCATCAATCATCGGTGCGCATAAACTAAGGCCACCCACTAGTCGGAATCACCTATAGTGATCTATACGACTAGCATGTCGGAACCCTCACATGGTCTGTACGACATTCACCTACTTGGATCCAAGACGAGCGTGCGGTGCGATGAATAATATAAGCACTAACACCAAGGGTGTAGGTTATGAGCTTTCAATGCAATTCACATAAAATAAATCGTATGAATAACGTAAAACTTACCTTTGCGTCCACAGCGTCAATTCATATATATATGCATCAATTATCAATTCAAATATCTCAAATCATATGCATGCATGACATTTTAAAACATATTTTCATATAAATTCATTTTCTGGGAAAAACAATAGTATATAGGTAATACGAAAACAAAACTGCCCACTCACTGGTAAGTCGATGGGTCGTAACTCCCGTGACGTCCCTCGATGCACTCGTCCTCGGGATAGGTGTCACCTATATGCGAAACAACTAGAGAACCGTTAATTAAAACACATAACCAATAATTCGAAATAACTTCTCATACGGTGCTCAATTTGGGTATATGAATATACCACATCGACCTACTCGATGTCACGGACGTCGAGAAATTTTTTAAATAATTTTTTGACGTGGCACGCGCCCCCACACGCCAGGGCAGGCATGGGTACATGCGTGCCCACACGCGTCTTCTTCCTCGCGAGCTCGCCGGACTGAGTTTTTCGGTGGCCGGAAAACTGGGCAAATTTCAAATGCCTTGTTCTCCTTCGTTTCTCAACCGTTTTCTTCGAATTTTATATCAAAATGAAGCCCCAAACATGTAGTTTCACACTAGACTACTTTAAGGCTCTAAAAATCACGAAATCTCACCGTAGAAATTCCAAGAAAACCGGCCAAAGTCGAACCCAGTGATCCCGACGTCCAAAACCTTCAACGAAGCACTCCGAGCTTCCTTGGGACCTCACTAAGTTCACTACAAGCTTAGAATTCCCTGAAAATCGACATATTACGATTGCATGAATAGTGACATAAAATGAGGGTTCGGGTTTCACATGATTTCGAAGGTTTCACTACCTAAAATCAACACCAATCGACTCAGGAGGTTAAAAGGATGAGGAATCATACCTTTTTGGCGTCGATCCGCAACGTTTTGGAGGGTTGGGGCTTCGTCCGTACGATTTCGAGAGTGAGAGAGAGACTGAACGGAGAAGAGAGAGAGAAAGCACGGGGGAAGGGAGAGAGAGAGGGAGTTTGACAGGTTGTGTGGTCCAAAGCAACCCTAGCCACACAAACATACATACCAATTAATCTAACTTAAAACAATTTTTCCAAAAGTTTATGAAATGTGTGTATTTAATCCAAATATATCACACACACACATACCTTAACACCCGTCAAGGGTGATTCCGTCATTTCACGTCCCCGATATAAGAAATCCCGGGACGGGCTGTGACATCTATAGAACAATAACCATGAAACGAGCCATTAATCACTAAACAAAGAAGAGTGGAAACACATGTTGGTGGTCAATCTTCATTGCTCTCTAGTGGTGTGAGACTAAAGTGTCGTTTGATAACTATTTCATTTTTTTTTTAATATGAAAACTCATTTAGAAACTATTTTCATTTTTTTTTAAATATGAAAACTATTTTCAGTTTTGATTTAAAAAAATATGAAAATTAAAAACAATAAACTGAAAGTTACATGACCGTTTGATTTGTTTTCCATCTTCACTTTTTTTTTTGGAAACTTAACATTGTTTGACTAGGTGTTTAATAAATGTGTACTTGTCCGGGGTGGCAAATACTGAACATGTGAATATGGTACATAATAAGATTTGAAGGGCTACTTAGTGTTATTTCTCCTCATTTGTAAGTGAGAGATTTTAGTTCAAATCTCGTGGATGGTGAATTTGATATTAAATTAAATTGTTCATTGTGTAGCTTAATCGAATTCTCTCATTCCTTTAGTGTAAAATATATCGTAATAAAAAAAAGATTTGAAGGCTTTAAAACAAAAACAACTAGATTTGTCACTTGGAATGGAGGTGAGCTCAACCTTTTTTAACTGACTTCTTGTGGATGTGGTTCAAAATGGAAAGGGATCCTCTTCGGATCCATTTGGTTTGGGATTCAGGTCGTTGAATTTTGATCGAATGACTATAATTATTATCATTTTAAAAGAGCCCCATGTTTGTAGCCGTTATATTAAATTTCAACCGTCTGAATCCCAAACTAGATGAATTAGGTGGAAATTGATCATTCCGTTCAAATTAGATTGTATACGTGGATGTCATACCAAGTGCTACGTGAATAGCAAATAATAAATGGATGAAATTTTATATTTATATAATAATTTGCATAAACTAAATTTCATCCTCACAGGCCTTTTATCTTTTAAAAAGAGTCACCTATAAGAAAACTAAACCACGTCACATACATTGAGCAACTTTGTTAGCATGTCAATGAATATGCGCAAGACCTTCTCCAGCGACCAATTTAAATGAGATTAAATTTTGTAAATAAAATAACATGAAAGTTAATAATTGAATTATTATTTAAGTATTAATAACATATTTATTTTTTATTGATAACAAATCATTTAGCTTTCAAATTTAATTTACAAATTTAGTCTTCCAGTACCCCCAGTCTAAATATCAACTTTGCATCCTCTTTAACAAGACCAATAAAGGGCATATCCGAATTCAAAGACAATTATGAAATGATATTTTGTACTTAAAATATAAAACCTCCGTTTTGTGTTCTGGCACTCTCTTTCACATTTATAGAGTTGGTGGCACTTTATCACTCGTAATGGGAGCTTTTCTGAGCTATATTTCA